CTGGGCAGGTAAGTAGAGGGACTGCTGGAACCCTGAACAGTGACATGACAAAGAAGTGGTGTGTCCTCCTGGGGAATTCGAAGTAAAATGTCCTCTGGGTTTAGGCCTGGCGGAAGCAATCTAGCCTGGAGGCTGGAGAATGGAGGCAATGATCCTGAAGATAGTCCAGAGGAGGGACGTGGAGGGTCTAGGACAGTGATGGTGAATCTTTTGAGCTCGGCGTGTCAGCATTTTGAAAAACCCTAACTTAACTCTGGTGCCGTGTCACATATAGAAATTTTTTGATATTTGCAACCATAGTAAAACAAAGACTTACATTTTTGATATTTATTTTATATATTTAAATGCCATTTAACAAAGAAAAATCAACCAAAAAAATGAGTTCGCGTGTCACCTCTGACACGCGTGTCATAGGTTCGCCATCACTGGTCTAGGGAATTTAACTCAATGGAAAGGCAGCCTAGATCCTGGCCGCAAACATCCCTGAAGCCAAGACAGAATGAGACAGAGTCCAGTGCCCACAGGTTCGTCCATGGTGGGGAGAAAGCCCCAGGCCTGCATCCCACGCTCTCTATTCTGCACACTCCACACCTTTGTCACCCCTCATGCCCTTGGCCAGGCCTTTCCCAGATGGGACACTGCTCTCTCTCCCCCGCCTTTGGGATTCAAATAGTTGCCTCTTCTGTGAAGCCCTCAGTCACTGGCCAGTGAGCCTTCAGGGCCCTTTGCATCACTTCTTGCCTCAGCTATAGAAGGTCCACACTGCACTGCTCACCCCCATCCCTGCCCTGCCCGAGGGGTGGGGACATCATGTCACTCAGAGCTCCAGCCCCATCACCCAGCGGGGCCTGGATGCCAGTCGCACAGCAGGGCCCCGTCCCACTCTGTCTGTTGATTGACAGAATGAGAGTGAGCACATGCCTGGGTCAACGGCCCCACCTGAGAAACACGGAAAGAAGGCAGAACGCCCTGCCCAGGCGAGGCCACAGAGCCCAGCAGAGGCAGGGCAGCAGGAGGGTGGCAGGACAGGACAGGGTCCTCTGCAGCATTGCGGGGCAGGGCTGGCAGTCCTAGGAGGCTCCCTGGAGGAGGGGGCAGCAGTAGGCCAGGTGGAGGATACAGAACTCTGGAAGCTTCTGATGCAATCACGGGGTGGTCATGAGAGAGTATGGAGATAGTGAGGAAAAGCCTAGAAAGTGAGCCTCAGACTCGGGCCATTGTCCAAACCTGTCCCCTGGGCCTCTCTATCTCCCCTTGATACTGTCCCCTCACCCAGGACACTTCTTCCATAGCACCCTCCCACCTCCTGTTCTCAACCCTGATCTTCCCGGGTGACGTTGCCTTCCAGCCTTGTCCGCCACCCCCTCTTCCATCCTCAGCACCGCACGGGGGTCCAGAGGCAGACCAGGAGCCCATCTCAGAGCCAGGCCTGTCTCAGCCTCTGTGTGTGAACACATCTCCTGTCCCCACAGGGCCTAGCCCCGGGGCTGGGACACAGCTTCCCCACCAAGGCCTGGGGAAGACAGAGGGCTTGAATCCCATTTTTGACTAAGAACTAAGTGACCTCTAAATCTATCACAGAGCGGCCGAAAATGCTCACAGGTTCTCAGACATGTGTTGTATACTTCTTGTGAGCATACATGTACTATCACACACAAGTGCACATCCACCCACACCCACACACACACCCCTCTTCTGTACCTGTGCGTTTATGTACATGTCTCTGCACCCCCTGAGCATGTGTCCGTGCCCACGTCAGGGTACATGTGCCCTGGCAGCCATGCTCCCAGAGCCTTGCCTGCCAGGTCTGCCAGGAACCAGAGAGGGAGTGGGGCCAAGCACATGAGAAACCCGGGAGCCCGGCCGCAGGAGAGGGAGGTGGAGGCCAGGCCCTGTCTCCCCAGATTTATCCTGTGAGCAGTAATGAACCCCTGGGCTGAAGCAGTCCCACTCTCTCCACCGGGATAGCTGCCCGTTCAAAGACAAGCCTTTGATTCACACTGACAGCTCTCAGATGGAACTAAATCTCTCCACACTCCACTCTTCCGCCCTCTCTCTGCTCTCCTCACTCGTCCCGCCCCCAGTGTTTCCCCCTCCAATCCCAGCCATTCCTGACCTGTTCTACGAAAACTACAACAGCCAGAGCGGGCGCCTCCCATTGGATCCTCTCACCAAGAAAAGAGGATTGCCGTTCCCTGGCTGGGCCAGCAGAGGAAAGGAAAGAAGAGCGGAGGTGAGCACTGGATAGACAGAAGGTGGGGGAGAAGGGGGACCTGGGGCGGGGGG